GAGGCACCGAAAACTGCTGTTTTATTTATTGATCCGTTAACATAACAAGAATTACAAACTGCTTAATAAAGCTGTAAGCCACTAACAATATATTCCTAAAATTCAGCACCCACTACTTACTCAATCAAATATCTCTAAAGACTAGGACAAACTCAAAACAAATCAGTTACCAACATAAATATAAATTAATATTTCTAATACTAACATCAAATCAACCCACCTATAGCAAATGCAACCTGTTTCTAACAACTCCTAGCTCCAACAAACAATTCCATTCCAAAATCCCAACTCAGTTCAAATACATTCAAAATCAGCTCATAACAATAACAAGGTCAGTTTAAGTATAAATAGCATTTTAACACAACAATTATTCACAAAGGTATTCAATAAACTAACTCTCAATTTCAAAGCAACAACAAAAAAATCTCATTCACTAACATAACAAGTTAATTTCAGTTCACTAACTATAGCATTCAACCATTCAAATTACTTGCTATAAACAAGTCATATAAAAATCATAATAGTAGCTTCCAAATCCATCAAACATTTCTAACACTGGCATAACTAATATCCTAACTTCACTCTAACAGAAAAATTAAACCCACTTAACTAACTCAAACTAACCAATTCTTCAATTCATTAACATAACTCGAGCCTAACCAATTCTTCAATTCGTTAACTAACTTCTTCAAATTTCACTACCTGATTCATTTCATAACACCCTAACAGAGTTGTAACAAGAGTCATAACTCTAACTAGTTTTCAACTCTTAACTAACTATTAAATTTAGAAGAAATAATATTCTTATTATATTTTATATATATATTTGCAGTCTATTTTAAGAAATATGGACAGCTAGTTCTCAGGAAACAAATCCTTGTGATTATGGGATTGATCCTAAATAAATAAACCTAATCATTAACAAGATATAGCTGTTACAGAATTACTACAAATATAAACCTTCCTAAAATACACAAAGACAATCACTGTTTTAACACTCCCCCTCAAGCTGGTGAATAGGTGTTTTCTATTCCCAACTTGGATATAATTATTTCAAAGTTAATGCAGTTCGGCCCCTTGGTGAGTATGTCTGCAAGTTGATTCTGAGTGGATACATATGGTGTGCAAATCATGCCACTGTCTAATTTTTCCTTGATAAAGTGTCTGTCAACCTCGATATGTTTAGTGGGTAAAGTGGTTGTTGGTGCATGTTCTAGTTCCCTTTCTAATGGCAATGGGTAGGTCTAGATTTTGGTCCACATGTGCTTTTAAATTTTCAGAAACAAACTCATTAGAAAGTGTTACCTCATGTTGTGATGATGGGCTGGACTCTTGGACATTGCCAGATTCTAGAATGACCTTTTCTCTCCTTGAATATACCAAAATTTTCCCAAATCTTCCACCATTAGATGCAGGTTCAGGTGTAGGTCTTGCTATTAGTTCAGGTGCAGGTGTAGGTATAGGTCCTGCTGTTGTTTCAGGTGCAGGTTCAGGTGCAGGTCTTGCTGTCGGTTCAGGTGCAGGTGTAGGTGTAGGTTCTGCTGTTGTTTCAAGTGCAGGTCCTGCTGTTGGTTCAAGTGCAGGTCCTGCTCTTCTCTCAATTTCAGGAACAGCAATGTCATTTGTCCCAATTTCAGGTCCAAATGTCATATTTGGAAGCATGAGAGTCTCATCTTCCTTTCTTACATTCTCCCCCTGAAGATGAGGTTGTTTGAAGTAGCTCTCTCGTTCGTTGAAGGTGACATCTCTTGACACAAAATTTTTTTTGATAGGGGTGAAAACATCTGTATCCCTTTTGTGTGGTAGAGTACCCTAAGAATACGCATTTGACAACCCTAGGGTCCAATTTTCTCATTTCATTACTATGAACATGCACAAAGGATACACACTCAAATATTCGAGGTTGAAGTTTATTTGTAGGATCCAAGTGAGGGTAGAATGAGGATAGGACTTCCATGGGGCTTTTTGTGTCTACGATTTTAGTGGGTAACCTATTGATTAGATAGGTGGCAGTAAGAAGGGCTTCCCCCCAAAATCTCTTAGGAACATGGTTTTGAAAAAGTAGAGCTCTAGTTTGATATAATAGGTGCCCATTTTTCCTTTCTGCAATCCCATTCTGTTGGGGTGTGCTCACACATGAGGACTCATGGATTATCCCTTCCTTTTGGCAAAACGAGTTTAGTATAAGGTTAAAATAGTCCTTGACATTATCAGACCTAATTCTTTTGATACCGACCCCAAATTGATTTTTAACCATTGAGACAAACTGAAAAAACATAGAGCTAACTTCAGATTTTTGTTTTAATAGAAAAACCCAAGTCACCCGGGTACAATCATCTATGATGGTTAAAAACCATTTAGCACTTGAGATATTAGGAACGTAAGCAGGACCCCATACATCATTGGGAACAAGAAAAAAAGGGAAAAGACTTATCTTATTGCTAATGGAAAAAGGTACACGCTTGTGTTTAGCAAGCTCACACACATCACAATGGAGACTCTCCACATTTAAATTTTTAAACAAGAAAGGGAAAAACACTTTTACAACTCGAAATGAAGGGTGTCCTAGCCGGCAATGGTATAGTTGAACTTTCTCTTTGTTTGTCATAGTGGATTAAGATATGAGAGAGCGACTCTTGGTAGGAAGATTAGGATCCTCCATGTAGTATAGGCCATTCCATTCTCTAGCATGTCCAATCGTCCTCCCCGAGTTCTTGTCCTGCAGTATACATGAGATGTTATGAAAAACAGCATTACATGAGAGATTTTTTGTGTGTTTTTGTATAGAAATCAGATTGGTGGACAATTTAGGGACATGAAGGACATTTTTTAATGTTATGGATGGGTTTATTTGGACCTCTCCTTGTCTTGCTGCAGTCATAAGGGTTCCATCTGCTGTGGAAATTTTCTTGTTGCTAGGACATGGGGAATATGTGGAGAAATATTTGGGTAGAGGGGCCATATGGTCAGTGGCTCCAGAGTCTAATATCCAGTAATGTGTAAATGGTGTATCTGAAACATTAAGCCCAAAAGAAAGTAGAAACTTACCAGAATATGTTAAGGAGCATGTACCTGTGGGCTTCTCCAATTTACTAAGGAATGATCTTACCCGTTCTATCTCTTCATGATTCAGCTGGCCAGATCCTTCACTTTGTCCATGACTGATGTGTGCTTGCCCTTGCCCTCCTTTCAACCCCCATTCTCGGCTTGGGGGTTTTCCATCTAATTTCCAGTAGTTCTCCCTTGTGTGAAGCGGCTTGTTACAGTGGATACACCAGATATCCTCATGTTTTTTCTCCATACTGGGAACCACGCTTCTCCTTTGGTTAGCAACCATGATTGTTCCTCCTTCGGCTATCATTGCAGAACTTTCAATTATTGAGGTCTCCAGCATCAGTCCACTCCTGCTTTCTTCACTCCGGATAATTTCCAGTAGTTCTCCCTTGTGTGAAGCGGCTTGTTACAGTGGGTACACCAGATATCCTCATGTTTTTTCTCCATACTGGGAACCACGCTTCTCCTTTGGTTAGCAACCATGATTGTTCCTCCTTCGGCTATCATTGCAGAACTTTCAGTTATTGAGGTCTCCAGCATCAGTCCACTCCTGCTTTCTTCACTCCGGATAATGGCTACCACTTCATTAAGCCTTGGGACTTTCTCTTTTCCCAGGATTTGGATTCGGACCTAGTCATATTCAGGATTTAGGTCTACCAAAAAAATCATAGACTCTATCTTGTTCAATATACTCCTTAAGGATTGCTGAGTCTTCTGAACATTTTACTTTTATAACTCGATAGTGGTCCAATTCCATCCATAGAGACTTAAGTTGATTAGCATATTCTGTAACGGATCTGTTTTCCTGTTTGACAGCCACATTTTTCACCTTTACATTATAAATTTGAGCAGCATCCTTGGCCTTAGAATAAGTTTGTTCTACTGCCTCCCAAATTTCCTTTGCTGATTTAAGGAGCATGCAGGTTTCACTAATTTCTGGGACCATTGAATTCCACAACCACACCATGATCATGGAGTCTTTTTTATCCCATGATTTGAACTTGGGATCTGTTTCAACAGGTGCACTACCAGTCAGGTGACTGCTCCTTTTCCTTTCAAGATGGTCCTAATGAGTTGAGACCATTTGAGATAATTCTTCCCATTTAACCGATAAGCAGAATGAACATTCTGCAATTCTCTAGCAGTCTTCCCAGTTTCCAGAATAGGATCCACGATCTCAGCCATGACCAGGTGCGATCAAGGTAGAGAGGACTGCGCTGCAATGAAAGTTGCGACAAGGTTTAAAGGTAGCGCAGCAATGAAGGCTGCAACTTAGGGTTTACAGGCACGGTCAGAGACTCCCAAGGATCAGGAGCTCTGATACCATATTAAATTTAAAAGAAATAATATTCTTATTATATTTTATGAGGTCACTGGACCTATATATATATACATGAGCCTGCAGTCTATTTTAGGAAATATGGACAACTCGTTCTAAGGAAACAAATCCTTGTGATTATGGGATTGATCCTAAATAAATAAACCTAATAATTAGCAAGATATAACTGTTACAAAATTACTACAAATATAAACCTTCCTAAAATACACAAAGACAATCACTGTTTTAACACTAACAACTAACTAACTCAAACTCTAATTGTTTTACTAATTCTAACCTCTTTCCTAACTAACCTAATGCAATTGTGATAACTATCCTAACACTAACTGTTTGAACTGATTCTATTAAAACTTCAACAATAGTCATAACATAGTCAAAAAGGCATACCTCAAATTCATTCATCAACTCAACACTAACAGTTTTAACTTCGATCTTAACTAACTCCTTCTCAACTTCACTAACTGCATTAACTAACTTCTTCTCAAACTTCACTAACTGATTCACACTTATCCGTCTTAACAGAATGGTAACAGAGTGATAACATCTAACAAAATTCCTCATCAATGGAGGAAAACATAAAAATCCTATTGATTCTATTGAACACACATCATGCCAAATTAAGTAAATTGGAAAGTCTGTTGTCAGAATGCTGATCAATATGTTTCTCTTTGTAGAAAGTTTTTTCACAGTATCCACACTGCCATTCATTTGTATTGATGCGAGATTTATGCTGTTCCTGATCTTTGTACTTATCATTGTCAGGGTGAAGCCCATACCTTCTTGAGATGGTATATTTTTCATTCTCCACATATGGCATCAAAGACTGCAACAAAATAAACATATATCAAGAGCATGCACATTTATCAGTTATGTAATATTGATGCAAGTAGCATCAAGAGACTCACTCATTTTCTATTAGGAGAGGGTTGAATACCTCTCGAATGATCTTCCAAGCTATTCTACTTCTTTCTCTAGGGCAGTGTATTGGATGATCATCACTATGCTCCTGATTCATAATTCTGAACAGTGACATTAATTTATTAGCGGTGCCAATTACAGAAAACAAAAAGCAAGAAAGGCACGAACAAAGGTAAAATATATAGCACCGACATTTCAAATCGAATGCATGTCTGGCGTGTGACACGTATAAGTGTCCAACACCTACACCCGTAATTACACCTAATCACTTCTATTTTCTTAATTATTTGTGATTAGTGATAATAAGAAGGATATTATTAGTTTGTATTTTAGACTTGACCACTTATTGTCTTGGGGATCCTATTATCAGTAATGGAGAAACAATGAGTAACTTGGGTATATATGGATTGTTCATTTTTCTCATTCTTTTTACTATGAAACAGGACACACAAAAACACTTCCAGTCAGACATTAAAACTGACTCACCTTGCAGCATTTGGTATCTCGTGAAGTATATCACGATCTGGTGCCCTCATTCTATACCAACAGAAGCTTTTGGAAACAACTTGCGGCATATGAATGAAAAATAATTTGATTCAACATCAATGACACTGACCAAATCTAACACTATCGTCAATGCTACATGCTTCTATAATTGAGTCCAGAACATCGTAAAGCTTTTGATTTCAGAGTATTTTCCTTAAGCATAGCAAGGGATACCGATTCACATTAATTGTACATACTGTTTTGCAGCTTTCACTACCAAAAATCCAAGCAGGAACAAGATCCATGCTTAAAGTGATGAAAGCGATGACGATCCCTTACAAAAATTTCACGATCAAATGCTTTGGAGATTAGCTTTACTACAGTATGACAATCATTACATATGCGCAAATTCTTTATTATTCTGATTGGAGCATGTGGGGGTATAGTGATTAGTCCAAAGGCAACAGCAAGCTTCTCACTATGGCTGAAAAGGGCAGTTTCCTTCTCCTCTTCATCTATTTCTAATGAAACCTCACTTGTGATTGGTGCATAGCCCTCAATCTTTAGCTTTGCAGCCACTACATCTAACATATGCTCAATATCATTTATCTGAGGATGTGTCTTATCTCCAGCTAAGAATTCATGAACAATTCCATTTGCTTCGATCACGCTACAACCAGGTATCTTCACCACCCCGTGGTGCACCATATTTCCCCTAATTTCAAGAACATCGCCCCAATTTCCTTTTGAAGCATATATATTTGACAATAACACATGGAAACCGTCATGGTCAGGTTGAAGCTGGATGAGTTTCCTTCCTAACCTCTCTCCCATTTCATTGTTAAGGTGCTTTCTACAAGCCCCAAGCAAAGCACCCCAAGTAGCGACATCAGGTGTCATTGGCATACTCTCAATCAGTTCCTCTGCTTCTTTAAGCAAACCTGCACGTCCTAAAAGATCAACCACACATCCATAATGTTTAACATTTGGTTCTATCTTGTGTTCTTGGGTCATTGAACTAAAGTAGCGGCGACCCTCATCCACTAGGCCCATGTGTCGACATGCCCCAAGAACTCCCATAAATGTTATCTCATTAGGAAGTGTCTTGGTTTTTTTCATATCTTCAAACATGTTAAGTGACTTTTCTACCAACCCATTCATTGCCAACCCAAGAATGAGAGCATTCCAGGTAGAAACTCCCTTTTCCTTCATGGCATAGAAAACCTCTAAAGCATTTTCAACACATCCGCATTTCATATACATATCTATAAGTGTCGTGCCCAGAATGACATTAACCTGAAATTTATTTTTACTTATATATGCATGAATCCATTTGCCCAGGTCCAAAGCAGCCATATGGGTGCAGGCTGAGATGACACTCACTAAAGCAGTCTCATCCGGCCTAATTCCAAGAAGCTGCATTTCCTGAAACAAAGCCACAGCCTCTGTGAAACATCCATGTTGAGCATAACCCGATATCATAGCACTCCAAGACACAACATCCTTCTCAACCATGGAGTCAAACAATGCCTTAGCATCCTCAATTAAACCGCACATCAAATACCCAGAAACCATTGAGTTCCAAGATACCATATCCAACAAGACACCACCATTGAAAAGTTTATGAGCATCCAATATCTCCCCGCAGCTTGAGTACAAATGTATCAATGCATTCTGAAGGCTAACATAATCTTGAATCCCTACTTTGGCCGCCAAACCATGCACCGACCTCCCCATCCAGACAACCGAGAGGCTTGTACAAGCAGAGATAGCACTAACCACAACCACCTCATCCACCATAACCCCACAAGCATTCATATTCGCAAACAAAACCAACGCCTCCTCACACATCCCATTCTGTTCATAACAAGAAATCATCGCACTCCAAGAAACCATATCCTTCCCTTCAATCCGATCAAAAAGCCTCCGCGCCTTCTCAACACAACCCTTTCTCCCAAACAGTACAATCATGGAATTAGAAGCAATGGTATTCCTCTCCGGCATCCGGTCATACACAAATTCCGCCTCCCCAACATCACCCACATTAACATAACCAGCCAAAAGAGTATTCCAGGAAACCAAATCCAACACAAGACTTTCCTCAAACACCTGACGTGCACTCACCATGTTCCCACAAACAGCATACAAATTAATCAACGTGTTCCTAACATAAACATCAAAATCAAAACCAAACTTAACAACATGGTCATGAATTTGTTTTCCTTCATGCTCCGATACCCGAGCAGCACACGATCGGAGGAGAATCGGGTATGTGTAATGATCCGGCGGAGTGTTCTGAAAGAGAAAGAGCTTGTAAAAATGAATAGCTTGCTGGGGTGAATTGTGAAGCTCTAAGTGGGAACGCATGATAGTGTTCCAAATAAAGGTGTTGGGGTTGTGAAGGTGGTTGAATATTTTGAGAGAGTAATGGAAAGGAATGAAATTGGAGTGAGTAGAAAAGTTGATGAGCCTGCTTGCCGCATAGGTGTCTGTGATGAAGCCGGTGAGGATCATTTGTGACAGAATCTCCTTGAATTGGTTCAACAATTGACATCTACGTAAGCTTGTCTCTAAAATGGAGAGGTTTATGGTTGGTGTTAACGTTGTTAGTCTTCTCACATGTTCCAACATCACAAATACATCCAAAATACGATATGATTGTTGGAGAATGAGAGACGAACAGCTCAGCGGCGGCGGAAATGGCAGAAGGTAGAAGCAATGAACGGCGGCGGCGGAGAGGGAAACAGTCGCAGCGCAGCACACAACAACATCATAGGTTGGAGGGTCAATATGGTAGTATTTTAATTGAGTGAGGATATTTTCGTAATTTGAGTTTTCCTTTATAATTCAAAGGATATATCAATTTCTTAATGCAGTAATGAAAGATGCAAAGATTGGATGAAAACCACAAAAAACCATAGCAATGCAATGATGAAGTGTATTCCTCTTATATAAGCAACAATATCTTCATCCAGCATACTCTACTTTCTCAATCTTGTCATCAAAGTAAGCTTAGTTCTTTCTTGTGGTTAAATATTTAACATTCTATGTTGCTCATGCATATTCCTTTTCTTATTCTGCACGCTAGATGTTTGATAAAATGTCTGTTTCACCTTTCTGTGTTCACTTTCTATGAATTCTGACTATTAAGTAACTTTTAGGCAAAACAGTTCTTTAAATTATTGGTATGTGATAATTCTCAATTTGCGTGCCAAAACGCGGTACTTTCCCGTATTGGTACATGATAATTCCCACAGAATTCATAGTACGCCACATATTAAAACAAGCATATACAATTAGCTGATTTAGCCTTTAGACCTCTGCAGAAAACGGCAGTAAGTTGCATGTCAGAATGTACTCAAGTGCACTTTATTTACTACAATCTTTACCTACTTGTTTGATGGGCTTCACCTTTTATAAACAATTCTTCTCTCTAATGTTTATGAACTACCTAAAATGGGGTTGTTTTCATACAGTTTGGTTTAGAAAACTTTACGCAACACTCCGACATCATAAATTTTACTCCTTTAATATATTTCAGATTGTACTTTATTAATTTTAATAGACAGGAAAAAAAAATTATTGATAGCGTACCGATAAGGTCCTGGCTATGTATACCCTCCACGTATCCAATTTTTCAAGAGTTGCGTACCACAAACCCGAATTCTTACCACGTACCAAAACGAATTACGAATTAGGTGACTATGCTTTTAAGTCATGTCATACTCATTTTCTCTTTTCAACACATTTCATTACAAAAAATACACAAGTTATGTTATCTTATTGATTAGGCATAACAAGATTTATGTTCTGGGCAAAATTATGTCTCCCATCTTTTAAGTTTGTTCTTTATTTTGGATTGATTCTTACAAAAATTTTGTCGGGTATTTATCATTTGTTACATTATGCTTCTTTTGCAATGTTTTCCTTTCTACTACATTAAGCATTGTGTGAACTACAAGTTGTATTCATCAATTAGAGTTGAATGATATTTATTCTGTAATTTCATTGCCTGAAAGTTGTATAACATGATTTCGTTGAACTAACATGGGTTCCAATAATAAATCTCCTTTGAAGTAAACATAACGTGACTTGAATAAGGAAAGCTATGCTAGCAGCTATTCGGAGATTCAACACTGCAGCAGAACAATCTGCACGGCTAACCAAATTCTCTCTTCAACCCCCAAAATACGTGAGCTTCTTTTTCCTCTCTAATCCCCTTAATTTTTTCTTTTTGAAAATAAAATAAAAAATTTCATTTAGTCTTATTGATTTAACTAAACCAACACATGTTTAGGTTGCAATAGATAGAGAAGTATATGGAAATATCAAATCAATATAAATTGTCGATTAAGGCGAGTGTTGGACACCAACATGTCTATAGAAACCTATATTTCAGTTGAAATCTTAATTGGTTTTAAGTTTGGTAATTATAGCTGATGGAAATGTTATTTCATTTACTGTTTTTTGCTTACATCCTTCAGCATTATTGTTTAGGTAGAAGTAGAATTTGCCAATGGTAGTGTATTCAATAGATAGAGAAGTATATGGAAATATCAAATCAATATAAATTGTCGATTAAGGCGAGTGTTGGACACCAACATGTCTATAGAAACCTATATTTCGGTTGAAATCTTAATTGGTTTTAAGTTTGGTAATTATAGCTGATGGAAATGTTATTTCATTTACTGTTTTTTGCTTACATCCTTCAGCATTATTGTTTAGGTAGAAGTAGAATTTGCCAATGGTAGTGTATTCAAGTTGTCTGCTGAGTTTCTCAGAATAAATAGCCCAGCAGTTGATGGAAAAATCAGATCAATTGGAGGTGAAAAGGTAACTTCATTATTTCAAATTGATTCAAGATCAGCTGATTCATTTCTAATGACACTTCCTTTATTGATGATCCTGTTAATCCAGGTGATATCGGGAAGACGCCATGTGGGAATTATGTCTGCAGAACCAGTAGGAAACTATGGGGTAAGGTACTAAAATTTCCGACATTAGAAATCAAATTCTTTGCTTAAATCTAATAGTCTCTCTCAACTAAAACCCGATTGTTCAATTGGACGCTACAGGCTCAATTTTGATGACTTGCATAAAACTGGTATTTATTCCTGGGATTACTTCTATCATCTAGGAAGCAACAAGTTTACCCTTATGAGAAATTACATTAAAACACTGAAGAAATACGGGCTTAGTCGAGATCCACGAGGAAGAAAATGATGCAGACTTCTGTTTGACTACCCAAATCTAGTTTCAGATGTGTTGGCAGTTGTCACTTATTAGCAAAATCACCCTTTGGTAACTTCAATTGAAACTGAGACTTCTGATATTGTAGATTGTGTTGAATGGAATTAAAATGCCTGCACTTGGCAAGGAAATACAATAGTGTGCTTTGCATATTTTTCTCGAGTTTCTTTCTTTGTTTAAAGCTCTTGATTTCATTTTGTATCAGATTTTATTTTAATTATAGAGTGAATTTTTTAATTATAATTTTTCATTCTAATAGTCATATGACCCTTATAATTCTCGTTCTCTGTGTTTGAGCATCTGTCAGTACTTGTATTACCCCGTATGAATTAGTCTCTGTGATAAGATTCAGACGGGTTGTAGTAAAGATTCAATCTTCAAATTTTTAGTTACACAAAATTTCTCAGAATCAGTCTCTACAATCAGATTGGTTTTGTTATAAGATTAAGAACTTGTTTTGCCCCGTATGAAAGAGCAATGAACATGACTGAGATGGTCACAACGGATTACATAAAACTTAGACCAAATTCTATGGCTTAGTTAGTACATATTACATCAATTAACATTGACTCAAAATTGATTTTTCATATTTATAAAACAAAATATTGGCTACTAATGGAATGTACAGAATAAGCAAAATCATTCTTCTGTTGAATCAAGATGTTGTGAGAGATCATAATACTAGTGAGAAGCTGTTCGAAGTTGTGATAGTGATTATTTAGGATATTTTGGGTGCATGTTATATCTAGAGTGTTTGAATAGTGGAAATGAAGAGAGGGTGGATAATATTAGAGAAGCTGTTTATCTTCTTGGTAAAACTAATAAGATTATAGTATCTTTACTGGAGAAAGATGATCCTACATAGCTCCTTCCAAATTAAGGGATCTTTGATTAAAAAGCTAGAGGTACTTGTAATGTTGTACAAAGATTGTTGAAAAAAATGTTTTTGCTTGTTGTATGTATATAAGTTTATAGATTGTACAAGTTAATGTGAGGCAAGATCTACAATTCTACACCAATATGTTAACCTGGAATAAGAATTTGAGAGCAACTGAAAGATTAAAACAAAGCACAGTAAACTAGTAATTGTTGCTGGAACACCATTCTATTATGTGTTGAACGCAACTTTTATTAAGTATTTGTTTGGTTATACATTAAGAGACAAAATTAATTCTAAAGGTGTGTGGTTAAAATTTTTTATTTTTAATATTTTGAGTAAAAGTGAATTTTTCTCATTAGCTTTTGTTTTAGGCCGAACCGAGTTAGGTTTTGTCAAGCTTCAATCTGACCTGCCAAAAAAACTGAAGGCTAAATTTACTGAAGGCTAAATTTGATCTGTAATTTGTCAAAAACTTGTAGACTTATTTTTAGACTTAAGTCTGACATTTTTTAAAATTTGGTTAGCCTTTTAGCCTACATAAAAGTCTATTATTTTAGACACATGTAAATAAACAATTAAAATAATATTTAAATAGACTAACAAACTAAAAAATCAATTAAACTAAAAGTTTGTTCACATTGACTTATTTTAACTTACATACTAATATAAGTTTTGAGAGACTATTTTTTTAAAATAACTTATAAAATTGTTCATAAGGTATTTTTATTTTATTTTCATAAATCCTCTAAAATAATCAATTTTTGTTTATGTATTTTTATTCAAAATACAAAATATAACATAACAATAGTAAAAAGATTATTCGTATTTATTTAGATATGTCAGACAGATTTAAAAGATTTTTTTCATGGTATGGGGCCAATCTTTTTAACTAAATAAACTTATGAAAAAGCTTAGGTATTTTCTATTTTAAAAAAAAAAAATGGTCTGACCTAAGTTTGTGTAGATTAGGTTGTATGCACCAATTATCAATCTGATATATTTTTACTTCTATTTGCAACTAGCAAAATACTCTAGCGTCTAAATATATTTTATATGATATGAAATTTATTTAAAGACATATGTAAATTTTAAATGAGATAATTAATTGTAAAATAAACAATGATCAAATAAATTTAATTGTATTAAATAGATATTGTATTTTTTTAAAACTAAATACACTGCTATCGAATATGTTATTTAATTCTAAAATAAACAATAATTATATAAAAAAGAGATTCGTGATATAAAAAAAAATCACATTTAAAAATTAAAAAAAAATTATCTCTCAAATAAAAATAATTATTAATTAAAATAAAATAAATATTATTCTAGTAAAATAAAAAATTAGTTGTGTGCACTTTATTAAATAATATTCAATAAATTTTAAATGAATTATTTAATTATAAAACAAACAACAATCATATAAATTATAAATATTTATTATATGTAATAATTATAAAATAATTATGTTTTTATTTTAAAGAAATTTTGTGTTTTAAAAATTTAATATTCTTCTGTGTTTTTTAATTAAACTAAAAAGAGTTTTAAAATTTGTTATTTATTATTAAAAAATTATAATAGAAAAGAGAAAATAGAGATAAAAGTGGAAAAATTTTAATTTGAATGAAGAGAGTAAAAAAAAAGTGAAAAAATTAAAAATAAATAACAATGTGATATGATTTAATAAGAGATGAGGATATAAAATGTGAACATTGATTGATTATGTAAAAATTTTGTAGTAAAAAGATAATTTAGAAAATTTTATTTAATTAATTTTTAATGGGTTAATGGTTGATATTTGAACTTATTTAGTAAAAGTGTTTTTTCTAATAGAAATGTGAATGTGTGAAGAGTAGTCTAGAATATTCCCAAAGTCAAGTGTACATGACGAAATAAACGGACAATTCTAGAACAGTCCCAAGTCACGTGCACACGATGAAATGTATGGACATTCGGCTTATCCAATCGTTGGTTCCAGAAAACGTCCAATAATTCTATAAATTTGAATATTCTTCGGTAGCGTCTTTGTAGAAAGATAAAAAATGACATCAACCCTAGCAAATATGAGTTTCTCTGCTCCCACTTCATCTTGCAGAATGAACAAAATTTATAATCTCAAATTAACAACTTTGTCCGGAACAAGGAATACAACTTTCTACAACAACGTAAAAGCTATGGCAACAGGAGATGATTCAAGCTTGCAGAGGGCAAAACTGCCACCAGAATTGAAGAAGTTGTTCCCCCGATATACAAGCTTCAAGTGGGCAAAGCTGTTACCAGATTTGGAGATGGCATTGTCCCAATCTTCACGTAGAAGAGGTAAACAAAATATTTCTTGGGTTTTTTTTTTATTTTTTTAAGATTCATAGTTAAAATATATGGATAATTATTTTTTTTGACGGCGAATGCAGATAGGACATTTCGAAAGTTGTTGGACTCTGATACGAATGTGGAAGATCCACCGCTGGAAGATGTGTACATTGACCATTACCCTTGGGTTGTTCCGATAAATGGTAAACCTGTTACTGGAAAATTTCCTTTCCTAGTAAAAGAAGGCCAGGATCATCACACGTTTAGATTTAACGTGCCTGGTATGACTAAGAATGATGTTGAGGTATCGATTGAGGGGAAGGTGCTGAATGTGAAAGCAGCAAAAAAAGCTACAGAGAAGATTAATGGAGGTCAAGTAAATGACAATGGAGAATTAAGTGATGAACATGAAGATTGGCCTGCTAATAGATTTCGTCTGTTTTTCTGTCTTGGGCTTCCGAAAAATACTGAGTTTGAGAAAATTAAGGCAAAGGTTAAGGATGGTGTTCTTTACATAACAATCCCTAAAGTCAAAACTAATGAGAATGTAATTAGGATAGATGTACAATAATAGTTTTTGTAGTTTCAATACTTGCTAATTGGTATTGAAGATCTCTGCTGTGACATTTCAGTTCGATTTCTCAATACCGTGTATGTTACATGTTTTCTCATAGCTTCTGATTAAATTGGAAAAACTCTGTTTTAGCATAATTTTGTTGGGTTCTTAAAGATCAAAAGTGATAGCAAAAGCTAAAAATTGGAACAAGTTTTTGGATGAGACAGATTCACTTTGTTGTTAAGGTTTTATAAAAATGGAGTTGCACTTTTAGTAAAAGTTCAGCACAGGAATCTAGTGAGGTTGCTTGGTTGTTGCTTAGAGAAAGAAGAAAGAAGAAAGAATGCTAGTTTATGAATACCTACCAAACAAAAAGCTTAGACTCTTTATATTTGGCATTACAATGCCAATTCAGTCCTGGCAAACAGTCTTGCATATAATGCCAATTCAGTCACAAATGCTCCAAATCCCAAACTCCCAAAAACTAGATACGGCTAAAACTCTCACTCAGACTGTCTTGGCAAGTAACATCGAGGCCAATAGAAGCCAAAATTACTTTAAATTGATATAACAAAAATTACTTTAAATTGATGTAACACAAATTATCCACTCCACCGGCAGCCTCCCAACCGAAACATCACTCTCGCCAAAAACAAGCCACCAGCAGACACAGATCGAAAGCTTCAAAACTGGACGAGCATGCTAGAATCAAGATGATAATATGCCGAATCCAATCTCCTACGAATGAATAGCCTTCTAAGCATTACAAGACTGCCAAAATGCCAATAGCCAAGAACAGAAAAACCAAAACAACTGATACGAACAGTTTGCTACCAATTAAACAAAACGCAACCCAATATCCATGGCAGCCCGCTAAACAATCAAAAACCTGCTGCCTTCAGCGATGACCACCCCAAATCGCAGGAACCTTAGATCAAATACACCGCAGCTCATCCGACAAGAAACCAATTTAAATTAAAACAGAATGATGCATACTCCTCTGACCCCTGCACAGAAGATTAGAATCAAACACACCACACACTTCGAACTGATCTGAGCGGCTAGCCCTGTGATCGATCACTAACCAATTATTATTTTAGAATAAAGATAAGAAGTTTATACTGTTATACCTTTGTATACATGTTCTAAAATAAAGATAAGAAGTTTACATATGTTCCTTTACTTGTTGTCAGGCACAAGATGATCATCTCTTCTATTATCTATTATAAATCCTTCAAAATAAACTTGTATGATTATACCAATTTACCTTTCCACTTATTTCAATTTATACTAGTATTTGGATATATAGGTAGTTAACAAATGTTACAAATAAATCACAACCAAATCTCTAATTACATGCCAAGTGTAGATCAATCATTGGCTAACTCAAATAAAAGTTTTTTCTCCATTCTCACCAAAACCAAACCATCTCTCACGGTTTTCTCTCACTCTCCATCTTCAATGTTTTCCTCCACAACTGTTTAGAATGTTTTCAGATAAACTCCTTCACCGACAACTGTTTCTCCCTATCATTGATTTGTGTGACAGGTTTTTCAATTCTGTTCTTTTTCTCATCTCTTTGAATTTTTTTTTATCTACTTCTAATGGTTTGTTGATGTTTTTGTTTATATTTAACATCATTTTTCAACTTTACTTTTCACTCATGGCTGATTTGTTGTTGTTTATTTGGTGTTTTGCTATTCATTTATCATATTGAAGCTTTATTTTATTTTGTTATACTTTATTTTAGGTTTTAACTTCTCTATTTTTCTCAGTTTTGGTTTGTTGTTGTTTGTTTGATTTTGTGAAGTTCATTGAGGATGATGTTGTTAGTTTGTCACATGTTTGCAGATCTATGGAATGATAATGAGTATGAAGAGAAAGGAAGAGAGAAAACGGTTGACAAAGAGAGGCTGAGATCTGTTGGGACATGGACAATGGAGTTCCTTAAATCTAAACCCATCTCCAAAGTTTTAAGACGTGAGTCTCACTTTTGTTTATGATTTTATTTCCTGCTTTTTATTTCTTATTTTTAAGTTTGATTCTATTTGTCACATTTTGTTATCTTCTCTTAGAATCTCAATGGACTATAACTTTTATTTTTAAGTTGGAGTTTGAATTTGAGCTTGAGGTTAATTTCTATAGGCTTATATCAAACATGATTTTTGTTATGACTTAGTTTGTCTCACACGTTGATTTGATTGTTGTTCACTTTGAATGTCTTTAATAGATGTATTTAGATGACTATCTGGGTGCTGTTGTTAGGTATCAAATCAAAATTCATAGTTTAAACTGTCAAAATGTATAAGAGTCATTGATGTGTGCTCTTATGTATGTTACTATCCTGACAGATTATAATATGTGGTATCATGCACCCATGAGCCTTTAAAATGTGGTTATGTCTGCATCTGTGATTTAAAGTGATTAGGCATATGCACTTCTCCCTGTCTTTTTCTAAGAGGAATTTGAATCTGCTACTTTATTCTTTCTGAATAAGTAACATGTTATTCTAGGGGTAGTATGGAGATGCAATCATACTTTTAATCTATAGTGTCATTTTGACGTATTACTCCATGTCCAAATTTTTTTGACTTGATTGCTTCCAAAAATTGAGATCTTTTGTGTTAATTTAATGAGTAAATTGATCTGCTGTGATTGGCGCAACACAAATTTTTTAGTCTGTTTACCACCTTTTAGGCATCCTGCCTTTGTAATGTTATTAAAGTAATCATTGGCTTCAAAGGACTGAATATGTTTTTCTTTCCTTTTGGGGAGTGTTTTTCTTGTCTGTGCTGAAGAACTGAACAATTTTAATACTGACAAATTTAACACGAGCTTCAAGGTTACATGTGATGGCTAGAATATTGAACTTTTTTAACGATGAACTTTTTCATTTACCACAACCTATGTGTTATGCATCAGATGTTGCATTTGATATGACTGTTATTCAAGTGAGAGGTTCACTTTGTTTTTGTTCCAATTTTAGTTTTCTTATTTCCAACTTAGTTAGCATAAACACCTTTTTACCTTTGACATATATAATGATATTGAAACTTCCATTACCCCTTTTATTAAATGCAATTGGTTATGACAATTTGTCATTGTTGATAGTTATGACTGCTAAATATTGGTTTCACTGTCATGAAGTTAAATGCATTACAAGACAATTGCGTTTGTCTCATGTGCCATTTATGAGGAACTTTTCTAAGACGGTGTCTGTTGTGGCCGGACATAAGGAGGGGTTGAAGCTGCTCGTCACAGGAGGTTCTCATGCACATAAGGCAATTGGAATATGGATGTTTAGCTCTGCGGCATGGGTGTTTAGCATGGTGATACTTGGTGGTTTAATGAGACTTACTAGATCCGGTCTTTCAATGACTGATTGGAAATTTACGGGTGAGTTCCCTCCTTTGACAGATGAGGCATGGTTGCAAGAGTTTGAGAAATATCAGCAGTCACCTGAATACAAGCGGTAAATTGCAAACACTTGCTTCACCTCCTGAGCATATGTTGTAATCAACTTTTTTCCAAATTCATTTTCTTTTTGGGATTTCTGAAACTGTGCATATGAAAAAACTTGTTTCTGATAGTTACAGTTTTAGTAATGATTATGCATTTATTACTAAAATCAATGTATTAGAAATGAATTGAAACTCAGTAGAAAATAATTGTTGTAGTTTTTACATATGTTATAGTAATGTTTCGTTGCACACTTCTTGCTGTGTTAACAAAGGGATGAAGATCGAAGAATTCAAGTCATATATTGGATGGAATATGGACATTGTATGTGGGGGAGGGCATTGGGATTAATGTTTAACTTACCGTATTCATATTTTCTTCATAAAGGGTATATTACTGTGAGATTAGGACTTAGACTCTCTGTTTTGTTTGGTCTTGGTGTCGGGCAGGGTCTCATCGGCTGGTGGATGGTTAAAAGTGGTTTAGAGGTTGGAATATAAAGAAAATAATATGATTGTTTCAAGTCCGGTTGACCACCACAGCTAGATTCTAATAGTATTTTCCTTCCTCAGGAATCGCCAACTAAATATAAATGTAATTTCTTAATTTATATGTATAAAATTATTTAAATATTTAATGTTAATATTCACTTATTATTATTTGTTTTTTATAGAAAATTGTTGGCTTTAATGTTGTGGTTGTGCTTTAATTATTGTAGGTTCAATTGTTAGTTGAAGATCAAAGAAGGTATAGAAATATGCTTTTTCTATATTGTTTATTCTGTAACATAGTACATGAGTATTTATAGAATATAAATTACACTAAGAAATAGGGGTAATTATTCTCCCTATAAATGCTAATCCTAAATAAGGTAAGAATATAATAATACAATTAATTTCTATTTAATCACAATTTGAATCCAGCCATAATGAGCTGTATGACAGAATCTGTTTTGATTTTGTGCTAATATTCAACACTCCCCCTCAAGCTGGCATGAATATATCGTTCATAGCAAGCTTGCACACCATGTTATCAAACAGTCTCTTTGGAAGACTCTTTGTGAGAACATCTGCTACTTGACTTTTGGTAGGTATGTAGGACATACAAATCTCACCGCTGTCAATTTTTTCTTTGATGAAATGCTTGTCCACTTCAACATGCTTCGTCCTGTCATGTAGGACAGGATTATGGGCAATAGAAATAGCAGCCTTATTATCGCAGTAAACTTTAATTGGAGTTGGGCCAAAGAACTTCAATTCTTCCATGAACTTTTTGATCCATAATACTTCACAAAAACCATGGGCCACAGATCGGAATTCAGCTTCTGCACTGCTCCTGGCTACAACATTTTGTTTTTTGCTCCTCCATGTAACTAGATTTCCACTTACAAAAGTACAATATCCTGAGGTAGACCTTCTATCATTTATATTACCTGCTCAATCAGCATCTGTATAGGCTTCAACCTGTATATGTCCTCTATTTCTGAATATCAGCCCCTTTCCCGGAGTACCTTTCAAATATCTTAATATTCTGAAAATAGCTTCAAAGTGGGCTGC